AAAAAAAAAAACGTATAATGAAATTAACGTCAACTGCTTACGCTTATTAACACTACAGAGGAGCACAATGAAAGTAATTGAAATCTATAAAGTTATATTAAATATTACATAATAAGCAAGGGTAAACAAGCACAGAAAAATACATAAATTTTTCAAGCTAAATCCATAAATTATTCCTGAAATTAGTGGCTAAAACTGATTAGCAACAAAAGCACTAGTTGAAGAAGAGTCGACTTTTTAGGAGGCAACCACTGACGCTGAACGAATTTATGATAAAGAACGATGGTCTTCCGAAGAAAAGTTGTTGGCCGCCCGTGTACAGTGACGGTTTTATCAATCTTTCACAATTTCTATTTCAGGGTCTTCACATAACTAATCTGCGTTCGATGGTGCCTTAGTGCGAGTTCCGCCGGTTTCGTTTAAATAGTATCCGTGCCGAAAAAATTTGTTTCAATATGTGTAGCACAGAGGACATCCCTGGAAAATGTGTGAAAGTCCGCTCAACTGTACTGATAATTATTGTGAGCTCAACGTACGTTCAATTTTTTACACGGTTCAAAAAAATCTGCAGGTGTTTGCTATCAAAAATGCAACAAAAATTTTTTTATAATTTAGTTTTATTTACCGTAACTTAGATTTTTTTTGCGGGTTTAAAAATTTGAATCTTTTTGTTTTTTTGAGTTTTTGGGTGACGCAAAAAGAATGATGACTTTAAATTTGATTCATTTAGTTCGGTATTATTAATTAAATGCTACTTTTTCCTTAAATTTTAGTATTAATTTTGGCTTTTTTTTCAGTTTTTCCAATCTTTAAAGCTTTGCATGCTGCTAATTGAATAATCTTTTAAATATTAAGCAAAACCAACCATTTTTTTAGTAGCCGCAAGAATTGCTTTTTGATAAGCCCTCTCAGAACTGTTGAGAAATGAATGCCTTTTTTGACCAACATGGTTTAGTCACTTATAGCAGTTTCTTATTCTGACTGAACTTGAAGTTTTATGGAACCATTCAACAGTTTACAACGGTCTTTGTACAGATAGACTCATATAACGAAAAAGTTTAGTTTAATCAGATCTCTTATGCTTCCACTTTCCTTCATTTCTTTGAATAACACTGTCAAAACGCCCTCACATTTTTAAACTACCGTGTATTCAATGCTGAAACGGCCGTATAAGGAGATAATTTTGTTTATTCGAATACAGACCAGGTATTAACTTTTCTTTCCTTTCGTAGACTGTACCAAATGTTGGGTGACTGGATAAGAAACGAATGAAGTGTACAAATGCTGTCAACTTGATAACCTTTGTTTATGCGGTTAAATGTGTGACTCCAAGAGACAAGTCATTTATGATTTATTTATTCCCTTTAAACCCTTTGTTGTTGATAAGCTCAGTTCATCGGTTTGTCAGTTACAAAGCCTTGAAGCTCTGGCATATTGATTCAGATAAGCATCATGCGTGCGTTTTTAGTTCTCTGAACCAAATTATTTTTCCACTTAAATATGACTTTCTTAAAGAAGTTCTTACAAAGAAAAAAAAATGTCAACACATCACTTAGGCAGTTCTGAATGAAAAATACCCTAAAGTACGCTAATTCAGTGCTGAGGGACCTGTGATCATCGTAAAGTGGGTAAAAACTAATCACTGGCTGACTAGTTTTTAAAAGTGTACATAAAACAACGCTAGCATAGCTGTCTGCTAGCAAAAAAAAAAAAAACAATACATAGTTTTTCAGAAAAAAGGAAAATGAAAAAATGTAGAAAAAAAGAGAAAAAGAAAAGGATAACAAAACAGCAATTGCAACAGGAGATATAAAATTATAAATAAAAAAA